TAGAATAGAATAGAATAGAATAGAATAGAATAGAATAGAATAGAATAGAATAGAATAGAATAGAATAGAATAGAATAGAATCTGGAGTGGAATAGGAATAGAATATGAATAAAAATAGGAATAGAAATAAAAATAGAAATAGAATAATAGAATAGAGTAGAGTAGAGTAGAATAGAATAGAATAGAATAGAATAGAATAATAGAATAGAATGGGATGGGATGGGATGGGATGGGATAAGGATAGAGAATAGAATAGAATAGAATAGAATAGGATGGGATGGGATGGGATGGGATAAGGATAGAGAATAGAGTAGCGTAGTGTAGCGTAGCGTAGCGTAGCGTAGCATAGAATAGAATAGAATAGAATAGAATAGAATAGAATAGAATATAGGAAACAGGATAGGATGGGATGGGATGGGATGGGACAGGACAGAACAGAACAGAACAGAACAGAACAGAATAGAATAAGGATAGAGAATAGAGTAAAGTAGAATAGAACAGAACAGAATAGAATAGAATTGGAAGGGACCTTGGAGGTTTTCTAGTCCAGCCCCCTACTCAAGTGACTGTCTAGCCTCTTCTTAAAAATCTCCAGTGATGGAGCGCCCACGATTTCTGGAGGCAAGCTCATGTTCTCTTAGTTGTTTCTTCCTTCTCTCTCTCTCTCTCTCTCTTCTCCTTCTCTCACTTTCCCCCAGGTCTTTGGAAACATTGCTCTGGATGACGACAGCGCCATTAATCGTCACAATAACTTCCAAACTTTTCTGCAGGCACTAATGTTGCTTTTTCGGTGAGTTCTTCCCGGATCCCAATCTGGGAGAAATACTCCTTCTTCTTCTTTATCAACCACGCCGTCATTTTAAGCAATCAGAAGAACTGTTGATTTAAGACCCCATAGTTACCCACTTACATTCATGGGCCTTTTTCTTGTTTTTTTGGTTTCAGGAGCGCTACTGGAGAAGCCTGGCATGAAATCATGCTTGCGTGCCTCAGCCACCAGCCCTGTGACGAGCACTCGAACCTCAGCAGAAACGAATGTGGCAGTGACTTCGCTTACTTCTACTTTGTCTCCTTCATCTTCCTCTGCTCCTTTCTGGTGAGACGTTTCTCTCTCTCCGTCGAACGTGGCGATGCTACGATGCATTTAAGAACGCCGTCTCTTTCGGGTGTAGCTTTCCTTTGAGCCTGAAAAAGTTACCCTCGTTATTCCGGTCTGTGCCCTCCTCCGTTGGTCTAAAAAAAGTTGGCAACTCGCTTATCAACAACCACAACCAAAGTCGATAACTTTCCTCCTCCCTGCCCTGATCTCATTTCCTCCCTCCCTTTGCAGATGTTGAACCTATTTGTGGCTG